CTGAACACCCTGGGGGGCTCTGGGGAGGGTCCTGGGGGGCTGTGGAGGGGCTTGGGACACTCTGGGGAGGGTCCTGGGGGGTCCTGGGGCACTCTGGAGGGTTCTGGGGAGTTCTGGGGGTGTCTGGGGTGCTCTGGGGATGGAGGGGGTGTGGCTCTGGGTGAGACCCCGCCCTGTTTGGGGCGTGGTTAGAACACGTGGGCGTGGCCTGCTGGGACTCCGTGTCCCCTCCCCTCCCAAGGCACATTTCAAGCTGGGCCCCCCCCTCATCACCACCACCAAGGTGACACCACCAAGGTGACACCACAGGGTCCCCTGAGGGCTGCCTCCAACCCCCCAGGCACCCCCAAAGCCCCCTCCCCACAGCACACAGAGCTCCATCCCCGTGTCCCCCCCCTCCGCCGGCTCCGCGCCGGTGCCGGTGTCGGTGCCGGCCCCGGTGCCCGGCGCGGCCGCCGACCAGACCAGCCCCGGGGGAACGTCCAGTGCCTACACCAGCGACAGCCCCGGCTCGTTCCACAACGAGGAGGACGAGGAGGAGGACGCGGCGGAGGAAGGCTCGGACGAGCAGTACCGGCAGATCTGTAACATGTACACCATGTACAGCATGATGAACGTGGGGCCTGCAGGTAGGGGGGGGTAGGGGCTTGGGACACTCTGGGGAGGGTACTGGGGGAGTTGGGGGGTCTCTGGAGGGGCTTGGGACACTCTGGGGAGGGTACTGGGGGAGTTGGGGGGTCTCTGGAGGGGCTTGGGACACTCTGGGGAGGGTACTGGGGGAGTTGGGGGGTCTCTGGAGGGGCTTGGGACACTCTGGGGAGGGTACTGGGGGAGTTGGGGGGTCTCTGGAGGGGCTTGGGACACTCTGGGGAGGGTACTGGGGGAGTTGGGGGGTCTCTGGAGGGGCTTGGGACACTCTGGGGAGGGTACTGGGGGAGTTGGGGGGTCTCTGGAGGGGCTTGGGACACTCTGGGGAGGGTACTGGGGGAGTTGGGGGGTCTCTGGAGGGGCTTGGGACACTCTGGGGAGGGTACTGGGGGAGTTGGGGGGTCTCTGGAGGGGCTTGGGACACTCTGGGGAGGGTACTGGGGGAGTTGGGGGGTCTCTGGAGGGGCTTGGGACACTCTGGGGAGGGTACTGGGGGAGTTGGGGGGTCTCTGGAGGGGCTTGGGACACTCTGGGGAGGGTACTGGGGGAGTTGGGGGGTCTCTGGAGGGGCTTGGGACACTCTGGGGAGGGTACTGGGGGAGTTGGGGGGTCTCTGGAGGGGCTTGGGACACTCTGGGGAGGGTACTGGGGGAGTTGGGGGGTCTCTGGAGGGGCTTGGGACACTCTGGGGAGGGTACTGGGGGAGTTGGGGGGTCTCTGGAGGGGCTTGGGACACTCTGGGGAGGGTACTGGGGGAGTTGGGGGGTCTCTGGAGGGGCTTGGGACACTCTGGGGAGGGTACTGGGGGAGTTGGGGGGTCTCTGGAGGGGCTTGGGACACTCTGGGGAGGGTACTGGGGGAGTTGGGGGGTCTCTGGAGGGGCTTGGGACACTCTGGGGAGGGTACTGGGGGAGTTGGGGGGTCTCTGGAGGGGCTTGGGACACTCTGGGGAGGGTACTGGGGGAGTTGGGGGGTCTCTGGAGGGGCTTGGGACACTCTGGGGAGGGTACTGGGGGAGTTGGGGGGTCTCTGGAGGGGCTTGGGACACTCTGGGGAGGGTACTGGGGGAGTTGGGGGGTCTCTGGAGGGGCTTGGGACACTCTGGGGAGGGTACTGGGGGAGTTGGGGGGTCTCTGGAGGGGCTTGGGACACTCTGGGGAGGGTACTGGGGGAGTTGGGGGGTCTCTGGAGGGGCTTGGGACACTCTGGGGAGGGTACTGGGGGAGTTGGGGGGTCTCTGGAGGGGCTTGGGACACTCTGGGGAGGGTACTGGGGGAGTTGGGGGGTCTCTGGAGGGGCTTGGGACACTCTGGGGAGGGTACTGGGGGAGTTGGGGGGTCTCTGGAGGGGCTTGGGACACTCTGGGGAGGGTACTGGGGGAGTTGGGGGGTCTCTGGAGGGGCTTGGGACACTCTGGGGAGGGTACTGGGGGAGTTGGGGGGTCTCTGGAGGGGCTTGGGACACTCTGGGGAGGGTACTGGGGGAGTTGGGGGGTCTCTGGAGGGGCTTGGGACACTCTGGGGAGGGTACTGGGGGAGTTGGGGGGTCTCTGGAGGGGCTTGGGACACTCTGGGGAGGGTACTGGGGGAGTTGGGGGGTCTCTGGAGGGGCTTGGGACACTCTGGGGAGGGTACTGGGGGAGTTGGGGGGTCTCTGGAGGGGCTTGGGACACTCTGGGGAGGGTACTGGGGGAGTTGGGGGGTCTCTGGAGGGGCTTGGGACACTCTGGGGAGGGTACTGGGGGAGTTGGGGGGTCTCTGGAGGGGCTTGGGACACTCTGGGGAGGGTACTGGGGGAGTTGGGGGGTCTCTGGAGGGGCTTGGGACACTCTGGGGAGGGTACTGGGGGAGTTGGGGGGTCTCTGGAGGGGCTTGGGACACTCTGGGGAGGGTACTGGGGGAGTTGGGGGGTCTCTGGAGGGGCTTGGGACACTCTGGGGAGGGTACTGGGGGAGTTGGGGGGTCTCTGGAGGGGCTTGGGACACTCTGGGGAGGGTACTGGGGGAGTTGGGGGGTCTCTGGAGGGGCTTGGGACACTCTGGGGAGGGTACTGGGGGAGTTGGGGGGTCTCTGGAGGGGCTTGGGACACTCTGGGGAGGGTACTGGGGGAGTTGGGGGGTCTCTGGAGGGGCTTGGGACACTCTGGGGAGGGTACTGGGGGAGTTGGGGGGTCTCTGGAGGGGCTTGGGACACTCTGGGGAGGGTACTGGGGGAGTTGGGGGGTCTCTGGAGGGGCTTGGGACACTCTGGGGAGGGTACTGGGGGAGTTGGGGGGTCTCTGGAGGGGCTTGGGACACTCTGGGGAGGGTACTGGGGGAGTTGGGGGGTCTCTGGAGGGGCTTGGGACACTCTGGGGAGGGTACTGGGGGAGTTGGGGGGTCTCTGGAGGGGCTTGGGACACTCTGGGGAGGGTACTGGGGGAGTTGGGGGGTCTCTGGAGGGGCTTGGGACACTCTGGGGAGGGTACTGGGGGAGTTGGGGGGTCTCTGGAGGGGCTTGGGACACTCTGGGGAGGGTACTGGGGGAGTTGGGGGGTCTCTGGAGGGGCTTGGGACACTCTGGGGAGGGTACTGGGGGAGTTGGGGGGTCTCTGGAGGGGCTTGGGACACTCTGGGGAGGGTACTGGGGGAGTTGGGGGGTCTCTGGAGGGGCTTGGGACACTCTGGGGAGGGTACTGGGGGAGTTGGGGGGTCTCTGGAGGGGCTTGGGACACTCTGGGGAGGGTACTGGGGGAGTTGGGGGGTCTCTGGAGGGGCTTGGGACACTCTGGGGAGGGTACTGGGGGAGTTGGGGGGTCTCTGGAGGGGCTTGGGACACTCTGGGGAGGGTACTGGGGGAGTTGGGGGGTCTCTGGAGGGGCTTGGGACACTCTGGGGAGGGTACTGGGGGAGTTGGGGGGTCTCTGGAGGGGCTTGGGACACTCTGGGGAGGGTACTGGGGGAGTTGGGGGGTCTCTGGAGGGGCTTGGGACACTCTGGGGAGGGTACTGGGGGAGTTGGGGGGTCTCTGGAGGGGCTTGGGACACTCTGGGGAGGGTACTGGGGGAGTTGGGGGGTCTCTGGAGGGGCTTGGGACACTCTGGGGAGGGTACTGGGGGAGTTGGGGGGTCTCTGGAGGGGCTTGGGACACTCTGGGGAGGGTACTGGGGGAGTTGGGGGGTCTCTGGAGGGGCTTGGGACACTCTGGGGAGGGTACTGGGGGAGTTGGGGGGTCTCTGGAGGGGCTTGGGACACTCTGGGGAGGGTACTGGGGGAGTTGGGGGGTCTCTGGAGGGGCTTGGGACACTCTGGGGAGGGTACTGGGGGAGTTGGGGGGTCTCTGGAGGGGCTTGGGACACTCTGGGGAGGGTACTGGGGGAGTTGGGGGGTCTCTGGAGGGGCTTGGGACACTCTGGGGAGGGTACTGGGGGAGTTGGGGGGTCTCTGGAGGGGCTTGGGACACTCTGGGGAGGGTACTGGGGGAGTTGGGGGGTCTCTGGAGGGGCTTGGGACACTCTGGGGAGGGTACTGGGGGAGTTGGGGGGTCTCTGGAGGGGCTTGGGACACTCTGGGGAGGGTACTGGGGGAGTTGGGGGGTCTCTGGAGGGGCTTGGGACACTCTGGGGAGGGTACTGGGGGAGTTGGCCCCAGCCGCAGAGAAGGTGGAGGCCCTGCCCGAGCAGCCCCCCCCGGAGCCCCGGGCCCGCGCCCGCCTGCGCCAGGACCTGGCGTCGCTGCCGGCCGAGCTCGTCACCCAGATCGGCAACCGCTGCCACCCCAAGCTCTACGACGAGGGAGACCCCGCCGAGAAGCTGGAGCTGGTCACCGGTACGGGGACACGCTAAAGGGGGGGGGGTCCCACAGGGTTTTGGGGACCCCCTGACCCCCTTTTTGTGCCCCCCGCCCAGGTACCAACGTGTACATCACGCGGGCGCAGCTGATGAACTGCCACGTCAGCGCGGGCACGCGGCACAAGGTGCTGCTGCGCCGCCTGCTCGCCTCCTTCTTCGACAGGTGAGCCCCCCCAGGGGTGCCCCCCGCCCTCACTTGGGGTCCCGGAGGGGTGGGGGGTGTTTTTTGGGGGGGGTTCAAGCTGGGGTTTTTGGGGTCTGGCAGGAACACGCTGGCCAACAGCTGCGGGACGGGGATTCGCTCGTCCACCAACGACCCCAGCAGGAAACCGCTGGACAGCCGGGTGCTGCACGCTGTCAAGTGTGAGTGGGGGGCTTGGGGGGGACCCCCGGGGCA